TTAAATAAATTTATATATGATTCAAAAGTCAATTTTTGGTATGACCCATATTTATATAAACAATGTAAAGATCTAATTACTAGAAGATGTGTTCCTTATGAAGAAACTCAACAGATAATTGAAAGATGCCATGATTCTGAATTTGGAGGACATTTTGGAACAAATAGAACTGCATATAAGATTTTGCAAGCTAGATTTTATTGGCCTACTATTTTTAAAGATGTTAATGAATATATTAAAATATGTGATAGATGTCAACGAGTAGGAAATATTTCTAGAAGAAATGAAATGCCTCTAAATTACACATTAGAAGTTGAAATTGGTATGTGGGGATTAGATTTTATGGGATCATTTATGTCTTCCTTTGGAAACTTATATATATTACTTGTTGTTGATTATATGTCCAAATGGATTGAAGCTCTTGTTGTACCTAGATGTGATGCTCGGAGTGTTTGTAAACTTTTGATTAAAAATGTTTTTACAAGATATGGAATGCCAAGAGTAATTATTATTGATGGAGGATCTCATTTTAGGAATAAGAGAATCAAAAAAATTAATTAAGAAATATGATATTATGCATAGATTCTCTACTTCTTATCATCCTCAGACTAGCGGTCTAGCAGAGATTTCAAGAAGTTCTATTATATAATACAAGATTGAGATTGTTTCCACGAAAACTAAAATCCAGATGGTTATGACCATTTAAAGTTATTAAAGTCTATCATTATGGAACTGTTGTTATTAAAGATCCTAACACTAGAAAGGTATTTAAAGTTAATGGGCATCATCTAGAAATTTATTATGAAGGGCACATACCTCAATTTAAAGAAGTTTTAATGTTAAGTCAACCCAACTAAACAAATGGTATGTCGGGCTGACGACGTTAAACCAAGCGTTTTGTGGGAGGTAACCCATACATATATGTCAATGTACTACTATTTTTTTTGATAAGTGTCTTATATATTAGTAGATAATAATCCTACACAATTGTGTTTATTATAAATTTAGTCAAATATTGGTATTGGAGAAAATGTTAAAATTAAATTGAACGAAAAATGAAAGTTGCAAAATTTTGGCAACTGGAGCCGACGGCGCCAGAATAGGCGCCGGCAGTGCCAATCAGAAGCGCTGATGACGCTGAGAGTGGTTTGATGGTTCAGACAACTTTTGGCGGACTTTGGCGGGAATTCACTCCATAATAACCATTGGGAGGTGCTTTTAAAGTAATAAAAACTTCCTAGGATGCCAAGAAACTTTCTATTTTCAGATTCCATGGCTTCAAATTCCAGAAATACTTCAAGGTATGGAGTTTTCAATAAAAGAAAGTTTATTAGTTTTGACGCACAAAGATTATACGATAAAGCTATTATGAAGAAGAGATTAATCAAAGAAAGAGGATTAATCATTGATTGATCAATCCAAGTGCTCCGGTTGACAAGATCATTTTTCAAAGCTGATGGGAAGTTCTGTGTTACACTACCGCTGGGTTGTTGTGCCTGTAGTGAAGGAGTTCTATGCAAATCTACATGAAATTACCCAAGGAGTTATCTTCGTATGAGGTGAGACTGTACCATTTACTCCTGGAGGATTAAAGAATTGTATATGATATAAAATATTCCAATCTGTCGTTATAAGAATTTCATTCCTACGTGAGATTTGATGCAAGATCTTTATAATTTTCTGATGAATGAAAGTGATATGTGGGAAGTATGAGATGAAGGATATATTAGTTTTCCTGCTTCATCACTTAATCCAATTTTGAAGCAGTAGAATTTCAAGCTTTTGAAGCAGTAGAATTTCATTATTTGTGCAAAATTACTCCCTACTATGAAGCTTAGTAGAGTCACCAAGGAAAGTTTTATTTTTAACTACTGTATTTAAATGGAAAAACCTATTGATATAAGATCAATCAAATTTAAACTATTATGACTATCATTATGAATGGGCTAATTTATGGACTTGGGCATCCTTCTACAATTTTTCTGATTTGCAGTCAATCCCAAGTGCCAAATGAAAGTTGGGAATGGGAAAAAGTTTTAAGTTTTACTACCATGGGAGCCCATGATCCCTATTGATGATCAGAATGTTGGTAATGTAAATAATGCACTAAATGTTATTATGGATCATTCTTTACAAGCTTCAACTCCATTAATACCACCAGCAGTAGGAAGTTCGCTTCCTTTGGAAAAGTAATTGAATAAAATTGAAAGGGAACTTCAGAGTATTATTAATGCAGTGGGAGATCTTAAGTACCTTTTTAATCACCTTGATTGGAGAATGAAAGAAAATTTTGATCATACTGGAACTTTTGAAGCAGGATTATTTCAGATGTTTAAGGAAAATAGGTGGATCGAAGAAAATTCGATAGATCAATTCCCGTACCGATCCTTCTACATCCTATATGTTCATTATCAATCCATGGGAGATATTAGAGGAGGTGAAAGCATTGAAGATGAAGCAGAATGACTGAAGACTTTGGATTCTCTACTTTCTTAAGAATATTTATGTATTTGATGTAATTGTGTGGATTTAGGAAATTAAAAGTTTGAAAAAAATCAAAATAGTGAATTTCGAGCCATCAGCGCCCGACGTGCCTTCAACCCGAGAGCAGTAATAACCCTTTAATTCGTGATTTTCACCATAAACCCTCCATTTTTACCTCTAAAGTCACCTTCAACTTTTGGTTTTCACACCTAGGGCTTGATTTTGGGCAGATTTGAGGAGATTTAAAGGCAAAGGAACTTAGGATTTTATTTTCTCTAGGTAAGAGCTACACTTCAAAGTAAAATTTTTTTATTTTCACCAAAGATATTTTCTCACATTGCCTGGATCTGAAAGTTTTATTTTTTCGAGAGATTTTGAGAAAATGATTTGGTGAGAGATTTTAAGAAAATGATTTGGTGAAAAAATTTTACTTAGTGGATTTAAGTTTAAGGTGCTTTACATTTTAATTTTTGGAATATTGGAATTTATTCAGATTTTTATCAATTTTTTCTTGATTTCCTATAGCACCTAGACCTAGCAAAAGAAAAATAGAATATGACGAGCAAAAGTTTGTTAGCTTTAAAGCTAGTGCTTGATTTTATAGTCTTCAAGAAAATAAGAAAGTGATTTTGGATCGAGGTTTCAAAAATCCGACAGGAGAAGTTGAATGATTGATTATCGCTCAGCAGTGGGAAAACTTATGCTATTTACTGTCGATGTGATAGTTGGGATAGTTATGGAATTTTATGCCAACTTTTCAGAGGCTTCTGATGATTTTGTTATTGTTCGAGGACAAAAGGTGGAGTTTACTCCAAGAAAAATAAATGAGTTTTATCAGGTAGAAGATGTTTATAGATGTCAGTAACATTCCTTTTCTGCTACAAATGAGGCCTTAAATGAGGTTATTTCTTTTCTGAATGGTGAGAAAGAGGCTTGGAAAGTAAGGAATGGATTTAAAGTCAACTTTTCCCTTTCTATGTTAAATGTAGTATCTAAGGCCTGGTATTATTTTATTTCTGGGAGGATGATTCCAATAGACCATCATAATGAAGTAACGAAGGATAGAGCCATCCTGAACTACTGTATTCAGCAAGTGATGGATATAAATGTCGGCTCTATCATTTATATGAACACTCGATCTATTGCTCTAGGAGAGACCACTGGTGGATTGGCACACCCTGCTCTCATTTATACACTTTGTGGGCATGCAGGAGTTGATTTCAAACTTGATGCGGAGAGGATTGAGCCTCAAGGACCGATTGGGCCTGCAAACATTAAGACTTATGAGTCCTATGTTGATTGGAGATCTGGAAATAAGGCCAGGATAAGGCCAGGGATATTCCTTCTATTCCTTCTACTTCTAGGACTCCTATGTTTAGTGAGCCTACTTCAAGTGACCCCAATAACAGAGAGTTATTGGACCAGATGATGCTTCAGCAGGGAGATATTTTAAGGATGGATAATAGGATACAGAACATGGAGGCCAAAAATGCTCATACAGATGATCTGATTCACCAGAAGTTTGAATATGATGCTGCTTATGATAATGCTTTAGTGAAATACCTGAGGGGTGATCATACAACTCAGTTCCCTATTCACCCTATTTATACTCCATATCAGCAGCAGAAGTTAGATATTAATGATGAAGAAGATGATGACTGGTGATCTTTTTATTTATTTATTTATTTGTGTTGTACTTTGTGATTGTATTGTTTGTTTTGTAATATTGTTGAGACTCTGTTATTATGTTGTAATGTGAAACTGTAATGTGAAAATGTAATGTGTAAAATTGTTTTCATTTTTAGAATTTAGTTTAGTTATGTTGTTAGTTTTAGCACTTTGTTAAATGTATTAATGTATTGTAATTAACTCTTTATTTTATATATATTATGTGAAATTTAATTATATATTATGTGAAATTTAATTATTATATGAAATTTAATGTTTCAAGCTTTGTAGTTTTTCATATTAGCACCTGCAATATTTCAGAATTTATTTATAAAAATCAAAATCTTCAACATGTATGAATTTTCTTTTTGAAAAAAAATTAAGACGTCTCTATTTAATGCTTTCTTTCACTCTTTTATATTTAATGTTTTTCATGTAAATCTTTTTAAATAAAATTTAAGTTTGGGGGGGAGAAAAATTATTTTAAAAAAGAAAAGAGAGAACTTAATTTTATTTGTCTTCACTTAACTATATTTTAAAAATTTTAAATTTAACATGACCATTGATATTAAGGGTTAACTTTGGATAACTATATTTATGTTTCTTTTTTTTTGTTAATAAAAGGAGA